AACAACAACAACAACAACAACAACAACAACAACAACAACAACACCCACAATAACAACAACAACAAATAACAGCAGCAGCAGCAGCAAGGATAACACAACACCCTCCCCTCCCCCACGGACCCCGCAGGCGTGCGTGCATCCAGGTCATCCAGGTGGCGCTGCTGCTGCGGCGCTGCGCAAGCGGGGGTCGGCTACGCGGCACGCGCGGCGGCGCAGGGGGTCGTCTCCTTACCGTGGCACGGTTCGATGTCATCTATCGAGTCCTGGCTAATATCACCTTCAAACAGAAGAACGGCAGAAAACACCGGTCACGCTCCGTGCGATCTGCGACCGGGGACAGGGGGTGCCACCGGGGACAGGAGGCGCCACCGGGGGACAGGGGGCGCCACCGGGGACAGGGGGCGCCACCGCCCGCTGCGTCGGACGCGAGCAGGGACGCTTTCCTCTTGCTGGAGTTTTCGCCGATCTGCTTCCTTCGGTGACCTTCCCCTGCGACCCGAAAGCGGGAACCCGCTTCGTTTTCTCTTGGCCCTGGAATTGGTGACCTTTGACCCCTGTGCGACCTCACTTGACTTGAGGTCGGCTGTGTGCGTCCGCCGGATGGTTGTGGTTGCAGGGAGAGAGATGGCGGTAGCTGTAGTAGTCACAGTAGGTATAAAGAGCGCGTTATAAGTTCGCGTGGGCACCCGTGCATGTGTTCGTGCATGCGAGCGTGCGTGCGTGCGTGCGTGCGTGCGTGCGTGCATGCACAAGTGTGCTCTAACTGGAACTTTTGAGGTCATCCTGAAATTTTCGTTACTCAAAAAAACACAAAAAACTAACAGCGTATAAACCACGGCGTGACTCGGTGAACTGTGCAATGTACCCACTAATTACTATTCAGTAGCGCCCATCGCTTTCTCTCTCACTAACTGCATCTTACCGGTGGCGCCGTCTAGCGGGACGCCGACCGGGGACACGCTGAGAATTTTCCCTGCGTCGGTGGCGCCCCCTTGTGTCTGCCGTCGCTCTTCTACATTCTGATACTCGCTTTACATCGCTTATCGTCTTCTGATGTTCGCTCGTTGTATGGCTCGCTGTTTTTTCTTAGATACGATCTATTGTACGATCGCCTCGCTCTGAATTTTCCCCATTCTGCATTTCGTCGTAACATTTACTGTATTCTGCATTGTGGTATTCCGCACGTATTCCATTTGCTTCATTCTGCATGTGGTATTCTGTAACTGGTATTCCATTTACTTCATTCTGCATTGTGGTATTTCCACACATATTCCATTTACTTCATTCTGCATTGTGGTATTCCACACATATTCCATTTACTGCATTCTGCATTGTGGTATTCCACACATATTCCATTTACTGCATTCTGCATTGTGGTATTCCACACATATTCCATTTNACGCGCGGGGGTGTGTGGGCAGGGGGAGGGAGCGAGGGTTAGTCCCACTACACGTGCGGGTGTGTGTAGGCGTTGGGTTGGGTGCGAGGGTGCGTCCCACTACACGCAGGGGTGACAAGGGTGCAAGGGTGAGTTCCGCTACACGTAAGAATATGTGGGGGTGACAAACATGGTGTGTCTACTGCACAGTCATGTCGTACTGTCAGCAGGGGTAGGATGGGTCAAGGAGCTAAATATAACAAGGAGAGGAAGCGCCGCCACATCTGGCCCAAATTTGGGTCGCAGAGACCCTAGAACAGATTAGTGTTCTATTGTCTCGTGGTTCGTCTGCAC